AAAAAAAAAAAAAAAAAAAAAAAAAATGTCGGACCGTTTCTCGACTTGTGCGTGTCACGCTCGCGCAACGGCCATCATGCTAATCTTCTGGCGTCCCGATAGCATTGTGCTGCCATCGCGATCCCGTCGACCTCGCATGCTTGATCAGGATACAATCGTTGGTGGTGTTGTGCGCGTCAGTAAAGTCTCCATCAATCTTTCTTCTTGGTGTTCGGGGGTCCGAACGTGGACTACGTGTCTGTCCAGGTGCCGATGATCTGGAGTAAGATGCTGCTTTTAATGAGAGGCCCTCTCTCTGCGTGCGGTCTGTCACATGCTCGTGCAGCGTTGGGCGACCCTTGTCGAGCTGCAGCCCAACTGTCACGGGGGCTGACTTGTCAGACTGTCAGAAAGCCTGCATATGTCTGCAGCTGTCAGTCTGACACTGTCACTGTGACACTGACAGCTGCAGATTACCTTGCTTCTGTCACTAGCACCTGGTTGTCAGACACTTGTCAGACTCTGTCACCGTGACACTGACATAATCAATCTTCCCGCTTTCTGTCAGATACCCTTTTTTTTTTTCTTTTTTTTTTTTTAAAGCAGTTGCAGATTTCATTAGAATCGATGAAAAGGAGGCCGGGAATCCCTCCACATAAAGCAGTTGCAGATTTCATTATAATCGATGAAAAGGAGGCCGGGGGCCAGGTCCCACTTGCACAGATTAAGAGATTCTGGCCGTTGATGTTTGTTATCTACGGTCAATGTCGCTTAATTCGTGTAAGTGGGACCTAGCCCCGGGAATCCCTCCTCACAACAACCCAGAGAATGGAAACTGGGGCCATTACCCAGTTGGGCCAGGGGTCTGGTCCCACCTACGGTTGTTGAGTTTAGAAAACTCAACGGTGTGACGCCATGTAGACATTAATAAATTTGAAACAACAAATAAAAAAACTGAAAAAAATGCTAGAAACAGCTTTTCTCCTTATTTTTTATAACGTAACTGGGAGAAATGAAACATGTCTGTAACAGTCGGAGTGAACGTCTCCGTGAAAAAAGGATACTCCCCGTAGTGAGGGGACAGGAGGTCACCATTTGTAAAATGGACAGGGACGACGTGGATGGCCAAATGCATTCATTGCCCAAAGAAGGAAACGAGTTTGATGCCAGACAGCCAAACACAGCTGTCAGAGTTCCTCCGTTTCAGGATGCAATGAGGACTAAAAAAACAAAAAAAAGGAAAGGCACTGAAGTTGAGAAATGTACCCTACCCTCGGCAGGGTAGTTTTCTCAACTCTCAATCCTCATTATCTCTTTTTCTTCTTCTGCTGCCGCTTCTTCTTCAGCATCCTTCTTCTTTTTCTCCATCTCCTCCTTCAATTCCTTCATTTTCGCCGCCTGCTCGTCTGCGATAGCCTTTAGCTTCGCTTGCTTCTCGCGCTCTTTCCTCTCCCTATTCTCTCTTACTAGGGTGGCCATCTTCTCTTGCTGCTCAACGGTATAGGGGCTAGTGCTCTTCCCACTACGCAGGTCCACCATGGTGATAGATGCACAATCAGAATGATTCCACTCCTCACCACGTAGACTCTAACCCCTGACTGACAAACCTATTGACTCTATCTAAGGACTCACAGAATCCTGACAAGGAACTTGCCAACTATGGTCTCTAGCCTAGACCTACACTATGGCTGTCACTACTAGACCTGTTGCTGATCAGGAGGCATTTAAGGAGATCCCCTGAACTCCTCAGGAAGGCAGTGACGCAGTGATTGAAGGTGGGGAGTGCTTGCAAGTTTTCGTGATGGTAAAGCAGTAAGTTGATCCCATAGAGTAGACAATTGCTTTACGCTGATCACCGGCAGGGTCTGTTCTGTCCTTCCCTTAATAACAATACTCACCGGATTTTTTCTGGACTTGGCTCGTTGAAGTGCTACTCCCTTCTTGGATGAGTAAAGGTGTAGTCCAATGAATTGTTCATTATTTGGGTCCTTCCATCCAATTTTGAGGGGGTTAATGGGAAGGTCAGTTAGGCTTCTATGGCCTGCTAGACGTTGAACCTTCCGGTCTGAGGGGGAACCCGGTGACTGGACCTGTAGTTGGGCTCTGGTGTGTGTTAGTTGGTCCTGCTCAACAACAATGACTTCGTTGAGATCAGATATTACGGGGACTTCCTTGATTCCTTGGAAGGATAGTAGGCAGGTAAAGGGAGTGGTTGGTGTGTCCTTCCACTCCTCCACCTCATGTGCCCCGGCTGGGGTGGGACCTAAGTACTTCCAGATATTTGAGTCTGTTGGGCCGTCTGGTGCTAGCAGCCATGTGTTTGGAATCAATTCCCGACGATTACTCAGCATGTGTAGCCAGTGGGGAGGTACCGCCTGTTGTAATTCCATTAAGTGGTCTGATACACTCTGGAGTTTCCTTAGTGGTAGCTCAAATTCTATTTTCGATCCCAATCTGTTAATGTCCCAGAGGTCTCCTAATTTGGATATCCCTTTCTCTATTCAGGCTTTTCCATAGTTACCTGTCGAATCGTGAGCAGAGAATTGGGAGCCATCTTTCTGTAAAAGGACGGGGATTTCAAACAGAGGTTGGCCACATATTTGGTCTATGGTGGACGGTGGTTCGGTAATCTGGGGGAACAGTTTGGACCATGTTGTCAGTATGTCACGCCAAAATTTGGATTTTGGTCTTTTGTTGCTGCAGGATTCAGTGAATAGGCATATCCAAACATCCGAAGGGCGGCTCAATTTCCATTCTTGGCCCATCGCTCTGCTCCCCTTTGACCCGGACGAATGGGAATGGACGGGCTAATAAAACTTGCATATCTGGGACTACACGGTCAAAGGGGGGTACAACGCAGCTCGGCCCCAACAGCAGATAGGACAAACGATCTTACAGAGATGGGAGCGAGACTCACCACCGAACCCACAGCTGTTTCACAGCCTCCCTTGGACCAAATATGTCAAACTCATGCCCACAAACCTCAGGTCCCTACAATGGCAAATCTTGCATGGCTGTCTTCCCACCCCCGATTGGATCGTATCCAGAACAGACCTCGAGCAAAAAGGAATGTTGTCCCCCATCTGCACGTACTGTGCCAGGGCAACTCTTGAACATTGCCTTCTAGCATGCCCAATGGCTGCTCAAATATGGAGGTGGACGCAGCATTCCACTCGCTAACGGACCACCACATCCCGTGGGACTTGGGTCTCATCCTCCTGGGCAAAAATCACCAACTGCTCGCAAACTGGACCCCGTTCGCTGCTAACATCTTCTCATATATGAGGCTACATGTCCCCATGCAAGCCTGGAGAGCAAGGTGCTCCCACGAGAGAAAAGACCACCAGTTTGGATTGCAGAGAGCACAACATGAGATAGAAGATAAAATCAGATCCTGCACCCAAAACGCCCGGAAGACCATGAAACACGAGTACCACGAAGAAAAAGATGTCATCCTCAGGGAGGCTATTCGGGAAGCGTATTGCCAGATTTGGCAAGATCCTCACCATGTCTTCTTTGAACTGCAACACGATCTCAATATACAGTGGAAACACTGGAGAGCTGGAGAGCTGGCCTGGCAAAGGAAACCCCTGAAAGACTTTGCAGTCCCGTTTCTCCCGACCAATTTTCTGCTCATTTCTTAAGAGCCCCACCACACCTCCCGCATGTGCAGACCTCTCCCGCCTACCCATCACCACCTGCTCATTTCTTAGAGCCCCACCACACCTTCGCATGCAGCGAGCTCTCTCGCCTGCCCATCTGCTACCCCTAGCACTGTCCCCTCCCCCCCCCCATTTGCCACTCCCGTATC